GGGGGGACGCGGTGGTTTCCATGGGCTGCCCGGGGCCACCGTGGGCGCTTGTTCCGAACCAGAGCGAGCGCGGTTGACCCTCCCCTCGGGCCCGCCCCGCCGCTAACGGAGTGAGTGTCCGGCCCTGCGTGGGGCGGCGCTTTCTGCGTGTAACTTCGTGGGCACGAGGCACAGACCTCTAAGGTGGGACTGCAGGGTCACCGGGGACGCGGTGGTTTCCATGGGCTGCCCGGGGCCACCGTGGGCGCTTGTTCCGAACCAGAGCGAGCGCGGTTGACCCTCCCCTCGGGCCCGCCCCGCCGCTAACGGAGTGAGTGTCCGGCCCTGCGTGGGGCGGCGCTTTCTGCGTGTAACTTCGTGGGCACGAGGCACAGACCTCTAAGGTGGGACTGCAGGGTCACCGGCGGGCTCTTCTGTCCCGTTAGGGTCGCCTGGGTCGTGGGGGCGCCTGCCTTGGGCTCCAGCTCAGGTCCTTCCAAGGACCGCGCGAGTGGAGGCCGGTGGTCACGCACCCGAGCTGGCCGCCCAGCCAGGGGTCAGATGCACAGCGCCCAGGGACGCACGGGGACAGCCCAAAGCCGAGTTTAAGTGCGAACCAGGCTGTAAACACGCAAATGATGCAAAGTCTAAGCAGTCAGTGCAGACACCCCAGGCGCTGTCCTGAGCCCAGGCTGACACAGCACTGTGCCCGCACCCGGGGCCCACAGGCCCACCTGACTGCATCCTCCAGGCATCCCCTGAGATGGCCGGGGGTGGGGTGTCTTCAGGCCCCGGCTTCCCTGGGTGCCGCCGGGGTTCAGGGAGCGGCTGTGACTTGGCTCAGTGGCTGTGCTTTGAACAAATGGGCGGCTGCACTTGTGGTGCCTCCAGTGCTGTCCCGAGCTTCCTCCCGCCCTAACGTGCTTCGTGGCCCCTCCAGCTACTCCTGAAATGGTCATGAACTAAAGTTAAAATGCCTTCTTCACAGGTAGTCGTGAGGATGTCACCACACACAGCTTGCAGCTACTGTGCAAAACCTAGAAATTCACCTGTAGCCCTTGACTTGAATAAAAGGAATGTTGCAAGTTTGGAGTTTCCCAGAGAAAACTGAACTCCAAGGGCTGACTTTGAAGGCTTCTCCCTCCACTTGCCTCGGAGATGAGGCAGCTGCACCCACTGCCCTTGGGTTCTTGGCTTCCTCCTGTTTCCTGCAATTGCCCATGAAATTACTCTCTGGGAATCATTGAGCAGGAAGTGGGTTTAATATTTAATCACAATTTCCTAAAAGGTCAGAGGCTTCTGCAATACCATTGTCTTATTATTTTAATGATTTTTTATTTCTAGAGAACAGTTTGAGTATCATTCCTTTTTTACATATATCTGGAAAAAACATACCGTTTATTTACATACATTTTGCATTCATTTACATATATATGATGTGTAAAATCTATATCTAAAAAAATCTACTTTGAAGTCTTTCCAATGATGTTTCTTATTGTGCGCCGTAGAAAAATACCATTAACGCATTTTCTGTACCTTTTTGTTTTTTATCATTACGTTTTTGATGTAACTTGAAATTATAATCATTTTTTTCTTATATTCTTACTTTGGGTGGTCCATTTCACCATAAGTTATAGACACTTTTGAGTTATACACTTGATATTTTTTAAGAAGCAGTTCAAGAAACAATTTTTGTGAGTATCGCAAATATGAAAAATTATATCAGCCTTCACTTTCGCATGTCTTGGGTGCCATGAAACACCCAAGACCACCAGGATGCCGTCTCTTTCTAACCTCTGACATGTACTTCTGAAGAACAGGACACAGTGCTGCCTCTTAGCCATGCATTTCTCGAGTAAAACATCAAAAATGAAGTTCCATTGAAAAAGCTTATGCAGTTTATTAAAAATCAAAAACTAAAAATTGGAACAAATTGGAAGCGTACACATTTCAAAGCTCCCGAGTGTGGGTGGGGAACGTGCCTGCGGTGTCTAGGGAGTCCCGGGGCCAGGGCTGAGCTGGCACTACAGAGGCCGTGCGCTCGGGGGGCCTCTGTGCGGGGAGGAAGGTAGTTCCTCGGTTTTTCATTCCCGCAGGATCCGGTGTCCCCTGCAGTCCCCTGAGAGCACTCGCACCGCCCGAGTCATCCCTGTTTTCTGTGGGACTGTTTCATTTTCAAACCTCATTCTACAATGTCAGCCGCAGTCCCAAGCCTTAGACATGCGCGCCACTTTTTGTTAACGTTTATTATTTTTTAATAAATATGTAAATGGAGATGAAGATCTTCCTGCTTTTTCAGACCATGTGTTCACTCCGGGGGCAGTGCTGGTGGACTCTGGTACCAGGACTGCGCCTGCAGGGAGTTAGGTAGCATGGACCTTTGACTGCACACCCATTTATTTAAGTCTTTTAGAAACATTTGAAGTTTTGCCACAAATGTATGTCACGAATATATAATTAATGCCAATTGGTACCTGAGTATCCATTTGCTTTCAGAATCTGTCCTGTGAAACAGAATGATAACTGCTTCACAGCGCAGTTGAGCGTTGACTTGGATTCTGCCTGGGAAAGGTCTGTAACAGGGGTCCTGTTACTGGCTTTACAAGGCTCTCTGTTCATAATCTCTAACCGTGTTTGAAATTAGCTAAAATCCTGACATCGACAGCACATTGCGGGGCACGGTTGAAGGTTTTTAAAATTCTCATTGAAATAGATCATGGGCAGCCGTGCTGAGCCACGCGGTTCCTCCCACCGTACTGCTAGGACCTTCACTGCGTGTGCGTGTGTGTGTGTAACGCATTGGTCATAGGTAGTGTCACCTGTGTGTTTGTGCGTTCGGATGCTTGCAGTCCAAACACTGCACACGGGTCCTGACAGCTGTGGTCCCGGCAGAGAGCAGCGACCTGCTCTGAGATGAGAACCTGGGGACAGGTGTTTCCCTAGTTACTGTTTCATGTTCAGAGCCTCCTGTGCCCTCAAAATACTCTTGGGCAAATGAGCTGCAGCTAATCCTAAGCAAACAGCTACCTGGGACCCGCCCTCCAGCGCTCACACTGTCCCAGGGCAGGTGCCAGGGAGTGGGGGAGATGCTGGGCAGCGCCAGGTCACCGCGCAGGTGCGGTGCTGTCAGGGATCTCACCTGGTTCATTGTCTTGAGCACCTCCCACCAGGGTTCCCTCTTGAATGGTGCCCCACCTGTAGGCACCCCCTGGCTCCCGTTGGTGACATTGTTAGAAGAGGATTCAGTGTTTGGAGGGGAGGTTTCCGGCGTACCTGTTCTCCCCTGAGGGTTCTGTTTGCTTGTGTGTTTCCCTGGGCAGAGGAGCCGGGGTGGTGCAATGAGATGCTTCCTTCATGGCCAGGCAGGTCACGTCCCGGTGCAGGGTTTGTCGGTAGCCCTGATGCACGCGGCTGTTTATTCGGCAGCTGCAGGGCGCTGGGGTGGGGTGCGCCGCCCTGCCCTGGGCGCCCCTCGGCACCAAGGCCGGTCTCCAGGGTTGGAGAAACGCGGAGGGGTCCAGCTCTGCTGCTCACTCTCCTGCCCCAGGGGGATTTCACACTGCCCCGCTTCTCTCAGCCACGGCCCCCTCCCCCTTCACTGCACCCCCACTGGAGAGAAAATAAAAAGCCATCACAAGGAGATGCCTACCTGTCTGCCATCTTACCTGCGTCTTTGGAAGAAATGACATTCTAGAGAGGCCTCACAGTTCCCCACAGCACTGCCCAGAGCCCCTGGCACTGCCCAGCGTTCCCTCCTTCGCTGGCACCTCTTCTCCACTAAGGCTCTGGGTCCGTCACTGCCCAGACAGCTGTGACCTGGCCCACAGTGGCCCTTCAGAGCCATCCCGAGGGTCAGGTGTCAGTGCTCCCACCCGGTTACCCTTTCTCCTCTCCACTAGCCTCCCAGGACCCCCCCAACCCCCCGCTCCTCCGCGTTAGGGTGGCTGCCCCTTGGTTCCCTGCTCCCCGCTGGGCCCTGGGACACCTTGGAGTGCCCCCCCACTCCAACCTGACTGCCAGGGCTGATGTGGCTGCTGAAGTGCAAGCCTCCTGCAGGTCCTGTCCACGCGTGCTCTGTGCTTGTCGGCTGTGCATATGCTCATGTGTGTAAAGAGAAGGAAATGATGTTGAGTTTTGGAAATCCAGGGCTAAATGTGTAAGTTGTATAGTGGGAAACTTTAAAAATTGAGCTAAAAGTGAGACCTGATGGCTCTTTGCCTAAGGACCAAGGACAGCTCCTGTGGTCTGTTTCCTGTGACCACCCTGGTGTTCCAGCCATGAGCTGGCAGGTGGGGGGCCGTTGGGGGCCGGGGGAGCGCACGGGAGCCCTGCTCTGAGCACCTGCTGGGAGGACCCAGCCACCTGGGGGCCCTGGGTTCCCTCTCAAGGGCCTTGTCAGAGGAAAGTGAGAACTGTGCCCACAACTCCAGTTTCTGCAGTTAAATCTGCAGTGGCTGCTGCTCCTCAGAAAAGTAGCCTCACACTCCACAGGGACGCGGCAGGAAGGTAAGCGGAGCGTTGCTGAGCCCAGGCTGGTCCTGTTGGAACTGCCTGGGTCTGCCTGTCTGCCACTTCCCCCTGAAGACCCGAGAGGCGGGCAGGAGTCGCCTGCACGTTTTGGTGGCACAGCACATGGATTCTTAGGCCCAGCATTGCCCTCACAGGTTCCAGACGCCGGTGAGGTGAGCTGTCGGTCACACTTGCTCCGGACAAGGGGGTCCAGCTTGCAAAATTATGGGTTTTGTAGGAGCTGCTTTTATACAGAATCAGGAAGGGAGCAATGCCCTGAGAGGGCTGGTCACGTGCGCTGTACGGTCTGGGTGGAGTGCTAGCCACGGGGCACGGACACGGGTCTCGTGGCTGCAGGAATGGAGACTGAGCCGCGTTCCGCAGGCTGTTGCCGAATCCACTTGAAAAAGAGCCGCGGGTCCCCATTCTTTAGTTTCCACTCGTCCTATTAGGCAACAGATGTCAGAAATGTGAGTGGGAATGGTTGGAATTCCTGAATTCGCCAGAAAGCGGACATTTTTGTTGACCCGTGGCCGCGAGTGAGCCCCGCGCCGGTGCGCTGCTTGCTGGCGCCTCGGGGGGCGTGTGGCAGGGATTTGCCGTGTGGGTTCTCACTGTGTTTCCAAAATGCGCATCGTGTATGTCAGGTTTTGCCACGTGTGTCCTTCAGAATTTACCCCAAGTAAGTTGACTGAATTATTTTTAAAATTACCGAGATACAATTTTTCAAAAGTTTCAAAAGAGAGTTGAAGCTGTCTTTAGTCAGGACTGTTTACGAACAGGGAGATGAGACAGGACGCGGCAGGGCCGGCAGCTGGCCGTCCCGGGATTAGCCCGTGCGGTGCCAGGAGGTGTTCTCGCTGTTCTTTTATCCCGCGGGCTCTGTGCCGCCACCTCTCCATTTTCTTGCCGTTTCAGCATCTGCTGACTTTACATGGAGTCGCGTCCGTGGGCCTCCGGGTGGGAGAGCTGCTTGAACCCCCTCATTGTTCCAGCCACCGCTGGCGCCGAGTTGGGCCTGGGCCATCGTGCTGTGCACTTAATCGCCAGGCCTTTCTGGCTTTAAAATATGAATTGTAATTTATTTCATTGTCCGCCCCCCCTGTAAACAGGCTGCAGATACTCTGGCTGTGAGGCAGAAAAGAAGAATTTATGATATCACCAACGTCTTGGAAGGGATCGACCTGATTGAGAAAAAGTCCAAAAACAGCATCCAGTGGAAGTAAGTCGCGAGGCCGGGCTCCGCTCGGAGACTGCTCCTCCCAGCGCTGCAGAGCCCGGCCCACCGCCTGGCCCTGCCCGGGGCTTCTGCGCACGTCCCCGCCTGCGACTGCTGGGTTAGGCCCTGCTCCCTGCGGTTTAATTTACACTCTTAGAAACTCACATCATACGTTCTCCCCAAGGCCCCGCACGGCGCCCCACACACTGCTGAGTCATTAATCCCTCTCTGCCCAAGTGTTTGTCAGCTAATAAATTAATACAAACGCCTTGAGAAGCAGGAACTACATCTTACCTGTGGGAACATGTGCCTTATAAATAACAGTTGATTGAAATGCACGTTGTCTCTTAACTGTGATCTGGTTGTATGTTTGTGACAAATGCATTCTGTTTTGCATATTTGTCCCCTTTGACCTTCATTTTTTATTTTTTTATTTTGGTTAAAATCCCACCAAAATATGTAATCTGTTACCTGTATCTCAGTCTACATCTGAGATGTCCAAGTTGACTGTTTGGCTGTGACATCTTTTTGGTGTATCTGTCACCAGCCTGACGTTCCAGGTGACAGGCACCATGCTAAAACATGCTGGGAAATCTTGAAATTTCACTGTTCTTGCCAAGAAATATGCTAAGCAATCATGTTCTGAGGCGTCGTAATTAAATTTTTTAATCCTTTGTTTTTATAAGAGTGTAAAGATTTTTGTCTTTAACACATTGCTCCGTCAGTGTTAGTGCTGTAACACTCAGGTGCTGTGGTTGACCTGGGTCTGACGTGGCGTGTTCATGCTCCTGTGTGCAGAGGTGTGGGCGCTGGCTGCAACACTAAGGAAGTCCTGGAGAGACTGCGAGACCTCAGAGCCGAGGTCGAGGACCTGGACCTGAAGGAAAGGGAACTGGATCAGCAGAAGTCGTGGCTGCAGCAGAGCATCAGAAATGTGATGGATGACGCCATCAACAGCAGATATCCTTTCCATGGTTGCACGTCACATCCAGCTGCGGAGGTGGAGTTACAGATGCACATCCAGCTGGGGAGGAGGAGTTACAGGTGCATGTCCAGCTGGGGAGGGTGAGTTACAGGTGCACATCCAGCTGGGGAGGAGGAGTTACAGGTGCACGTCCAGCTGGGGAGGGTGAGTTACAGGTGCACATCCAGCTGGGGAGGAGGAGTTACAGGTGCACGTCCAGCTGGGGAGGACGTGCTGCCTGACGTTCTCCCAGCCAGGAGTTGGGTGCTTTGTCCCACTGTGTTTAGAGATTTAACTTTAGGACATAAATGTAACGTTTTAATTTTATGTTTCTAACAATTTAAAAATTTTGCTTTTTTAAGTTATATAGTCTGTCCATCATTCCTGTGTCTCATTGAGAAAAGAAATTTCGTCTACTTTCCGTCTACCCATTGCTAGACAGCGATACACAGGCCGAATGCTCGGGGCTTCCGTGAATTGTAGACACCATTGTGAAGTGCGTAGGTTATTGTAAATAGGGTGGGGAGCCTTTTTTCTGCCAGGGGCCAGTTGGATATTTATAACATCATTCTTGGGCAGTGGTTGGCAAACTCATTAGTCAACAGAGTCAAATATCAACAGTACAACGATCGAAATTTCTTTTGAGAGCCGTATTTTTTAAACTTAAACTATAGAGGTAGGTACAACGTTATTAACTTAATTAGGGTACTCCTAAGGCTTAGGAAGAGCCACACTCAAGGGGCCAAAGACCCACCCGCATGTGGCTCGCGAGCCGCAGTTTGCCGACCGCGGTTCTTGGGCCATACAGATTGATCAACTTAACTATCAGCCTGCTGTATTTGGTCAAACGTTTAATTAGCTCACCACTAGTGCCTTGGCAGGGCCAGACCAAACGAATTCGCGGGCCCACCCCTATGTCCGTGCTCTGGAGGGTGAACATTCAGCAGCTCTCAGAGCTTTGAGAAGTCGATGTGGGTGGACAACCCGGGATACTTTCCGCCTGATACTAACTTAGCGGTGGAGCCTCCCAGAGGGTGGGTCCAAGGCTGGCCCATCTGCCAGGTTAGAAGGAAGAGGGGTGCACCCCGAGTTTCCACGTCACTGTCCCCTTGATGTCTGCGGTGCCTGGATATGCCCCTTTGCTCTCTGGGACATTCCCCTGCATCAGCCTCGTGCCGTGTGAACTTGGACCTACCTGAGGTCAGGGAGTCTCCGTGTCATCTCGTCCTGGGTGCACAGGTCCGTGAGCTCTCGTGTCACTTTCTCTGTTGGTCAGAGCTTCAGTGTGAGAACTGGGGGTTTCCAGCTGTGCCCTGTGGAGCCCCAAGGTTCCACACCCATTGAACTGGCTGACCTTGGACTTTGCTGCACGGCTTTCCAAGGTTCCGGCTACTCCCAGGACCCAAACTGCGCCCAGGAAGGTTGTGGGTGTGGAGGCCTCTGGTTGTGGCTTCCACTTCGCTGCCCGGCTCCTGAGGAAGAGGTTCCGTCTGTCCCGAGGGCCCGCCGGCCACAGAACCCAGAGCACAGCCGGGCCCTCTGGGCGCCCTTGCTGGCTCGCCTCTGCTCTTGCAGGCTGAAGACTTCGGCTTTTCTCCCCTGACTGTGTGCGGCAGCCCTGCAGGCATTCAGTCGTGGTGTTTGTTTAGGCCTCTGGTTTATTCATGGAAATGCCTAGAGCTTGATGCAAATGTGTTCCTTAACTCCTGCACGTTTTCCTACATGACTCACGAGGACATCTGCAACTGCTTCCATGGTGAGTCGGTGCCGCCTCGATTGACTGCTGCTGTGGAGACTCGGAATCCGGGGTCACCGGGCCAGGGTCTGCGTGGGCTCCTCGTCTCGCTCTGCAGTGCGCTGTGCTCACAGCCGCTCGCGTTTCTGCCCGCTCACGTCGCTGTCTGCGTTGCTGGCAGTAAACGGGGAGGGAGGGGCAGCTCAGTCAGATTGGGGCTAAATGACAGTCACAGTCAGGGACCAACTTGAACTCGGTTCATCGCTCTGTCTGTGAAACTGCAGCGAGTGTGCTGGGCACAGACAGAGCCAGAGGAGGCAGGAGGTGCGGATGACGAGGAAAGCTGCCTCCCCCAGCCCACCCGCCTCGTGTGACTCCGGAAATGACCACGTAGTGGGGCTGTGCACACACGTCTCAGTAGCATGCCCGCCAGGAGGACAGCCTGTCACTGACTGCAGGCGGGTGTGGCTGTCGCTGGACTCGGCCACCACCCGGAGGCTGTCTTCCACAGAGAGGGTGGGATGGGGCTTCACAAGTGAGCTCACTCACGCTCCCGAGTTCAGTGTGTTGCACATCTCTGGTGTCCCGATCATCACAACATCTTAGCTACTTCAAGTAAACAATGTGATTTAGTTGACGTTAAAAAGCTGTCAGCGTCTCAGATTTAACAAGTCACTGGAGCTGAGCTTGTTCATGAGAGCGATAGATCAAGGCTGTGTGTTGCCCTGATCTGAGGTCTCATACGTCTGACCTCCGTTCTCCTCAGCACAGCCTTGTGGGGTTACAGCCCCTGCTCTACAGAAGGAAGACCCCAAAGTCATGCCGGAGCCTGGGATTCGAACCCAAGCCTCTGTCTCCAGGGCCCACCCACTTGCCACTCTATTTCCTAAAATTGAAACATCTGTGTTTTCTGACAGGTGACACACTGTTGGCCATCCAGGCACCTGCTGGCACGCAGCTGGAGGTCCCGCTCCCAGAGATGGTAGGTGGGGCTGGTCAGAGCGGACCCGCTGGCTCAGGAGGGAGGCCCTATGTGTCTCCTCCGCACACGAGCTCACTGTGTGAACTCTCAGGCATCAGGGCCAGGGTCTTGATACTGAATCTGGGTGTCTTCAGTACTTTGGTAAAATTGTAGACATGACTAAATGAATTGTGTAACATTTTATTTTTTTTAATTTGATTTCACGAGTCATGATATAGTCAGTAATCTCAAAGCATCAGTTTGGCTATATCTGCAACCCATGTACCAGTCCTGTCTGAGGAAGAAGTTCAATTGAAATATAAACAATAATACATGGTTTTAAATTGGGTCATTTTAACACATCTGGCTCATTGAGTCATATATGTACTAACTCTTTGCTGTGTCCAAGTTTCATGAATTTAGTTTGGGATTCGGAGTTCCTAAAACAAACTCATTCGAAAGCTGTAGCAACCATGGAAGGGGTAGACAAAGGTGACCACCGTCACCATGGCCGCCCCCGCCACCCTGGAGGCTTGGATGTGGGAGTTCACGTGATGGGCTCTGCAGCCTCGGGACCCGGGTCACTTGGAAATGCAGGGACGTTGCACCCGCCTCTGTAGGAAAAGTCCGTGGTTGTGTGCTTGCTGCCGGAGATAGAAGCAGCTGAGGGGCAATGTGCTGGGCCCACACTGGGAGGGGGTCCCCACGGAGGATGTGAGCAGCCATGACGGTAAAAGGGAGTCTGCCAGAAGTCTGCAACTCAGAGTTTGTGAAGCTCGGTTTTTTTTTGAGAAAAACTTAATTTAAGGGGCAGGAGCTTAGAGCCTCCATTCCCCGTCCTGCTCGTGGTCTCCACGCAGTGTCCTGACCGACTGCCTCTCTCTTGTGTGGATTTAGTTACTCCCTAGTAGCTTGATCTCATTTTCAATTTGTTTACACTTCACAACTTCAAGGGTCAGAATGGACAGAAGAAGTACCAGATCAACCTCAAGAGTCACTCGGGCCCCATCCACGTGCTGCTGATAAATAAAGAGTCCAGTTCGTCTCAGCCTGTGGTTTTCCCTGTTCCCCCACCGGACGACCTCACGCAGCCCCCCTCTCAGCCTTCGACTCCCCGGACTCCGCACAAGCCCAGCCCCACCCCGCCGAGCCCTCCGGGGCCGCCCGCCTCTGAGAGGAGCCCCGGCCTCCAGCACATCCCGGCCACAGACTCGGCTTCAGGTGGGCCCAGAGCCTCCGTCTTAGGAAGGGGAGCGTTTCTGAATTTGTCTGGCCTAGTGAGTGTCACCTGATGCAGGAGGGAAATAGGAAGCTTAGTGTAATCAGCAAGAGTGACGCAGTGTGTGTCCAGCGCCAGGACAGGTTTATGAGAAACATCCTGTCTTTTTATATTTACTAGATGGGGCGGGGCGGGGGGGGGGTCCCTCAGCCCGGCCTGCGCCCTCTCAGAGTCCGGGAGTCCTCGGGGGATGTCTAACTGATGGCTTAGGCCCGCTCCCCAGGTGGAGTGGGCCTAAGCCAGCAGTTGGACATCCTTAGCCCTGCCAGAGGCAGGAGAGGTCCCACCACCACTGCTGCGCTCACCAGCCGTGAGCCCAGCTGGCTTAGCGGTGCTCTCTGTGTGGGAGTGCACTGACCACCAGGGGGCAGCTCCTGCATTGAGTGTCTGCCCCCTGGTGGTCAGTGCGCATCATAGCGACTGGTCGTTCCACTGTTCGGTCAGTCTGCATATTAGCCTTTTATTATATAGGATTATTATTAGTTTGGTATAATTATAATTGTATTCTCATATAAGTATTTTAATTATGTTATTATGGATTTGTTTATTAAGATATATTTACACACACAATCTGATTGTATATCCAGAAACACACAGTGGTGGGTGCAGTGTGGCTGAGACTGTGTGGAGCTCTGCACGCTCAGCAGTGTTTAACGGGCCTGAAGTGCAGTTTTCTGTAGTATTCCATTGTGCCTCTGCTGCCATGTGCACATCTGCTCTTATCCGAGGTTTGCTGTGTAGAGTGATTTCCCGACCACAGGTTGCTGCCATCCCTGGCTGCCTTTGCGCAGTCGGGCTGTGGAGCGCAGAGACCCCCTTGTCCTCGGTCCTCACTGCAGTGCCTGTGTCTGGAATGGGGAGTGGCACAGGGGTGACGGTCACGTCTGTCTAAACGCATTGCTGCAGGTCACTCAAGCTGGTCTCATTTGTACCTTCAGGACGTGTCCCAGGACAGGGCGGGAGTCAGCTGCCCAGGTTGCTTTCGGTGGTGCCTGGTGAGGCTGTAAAGAAAGGTCTGACCACACACAGAGTCTCAGGGTCGTGTCCTGTCCTCTGCGTCCTGTGCTCCCCGTATTTCTACCATTAGGCGTGGGAATGCCTGTCCCCCGAGTATAACCTAATGGGGGATAAAGCAGGCCAGCTTCGTAATGTTCACCTCAGACCCAGTCCACCGGCTTCACGAAGCATTCAAAAAAGTGTGAGCAGTTAGTTTCTGTGTATGATTTGTATCAAGAAATAGTAAGAAAGGCAGTTTAGGGCCGGGCTGAAGAGGGCCATGACAGACTGAGTGAGGACTAGCGGTAGCCAGTGAAGTTCTGTGGCTGGGAAGTGGCTGTGGGGTACCACACAGGCGCTGAGTGCCGGGACGTGACCCGGAGAAGACGCCTGGGGAACAGAGGGCAGGGCCGTTGTGCAGTTGTGAGAACATTGAGGCCACAGGAGGGTGATGGCAGTGGGTGCATGAGAGAAAGAAAGAACAAGCAAGAAGTATTGTTTAGGCAAAATAAGTCCCGTCTGCCATGTGGGATCTGGAGATGAGGCTGACGGAGGAACGGAAAGTGATGGTGCTTCACTGGCGAAAGCCCAGGAGTCCATTGTGGGGGAGGCGGCGGCTTTGGGGCTCCTTGAGTTTGGAAGTTTACCAGTGAAACTTGTAGGTGCGAATGGAAACATCGTTCCCTGCTAGTACTTCACTTGTACTGAGTGGGAGCTGATGCGGACTCCCCGTGTTTAGTGTGCTGTGCCCAAGGAGAGCCAGCTGCCCCCGCTGCAGAGATGTCACAAGGCGCGATCACGTTTCTCTTCCCGCAGGATCTGTTACTGGAGATCTCATTGATGAGCTGATGTCTTCTGATGGTAAGCCATTTAAAACTGTACAGTGGGGCCTTGACTTACGAGTGTCCTGACTAACGAGTTTTTCGAGATACGAACCGTCTCTCGGCCGATTTTTTGCTTTGAGTTGCGAGCTAAAATTCGGGTTACGAGCCAGCTTCAGATACCCCACCGCTAGTTGGCGCAGTGAACATCACAGTGAACGCCACAACATCAGCCCAGCATCACGTGTCTCACTCGTTCACAACTGATTTGACATACGAGTAATTTGAGTTACGAGCTCCGTCACGGAATTAATTAAACTTGTAAGTTTAATTAAACCTGTACTGCCTCCCTCAGGGGCAGACTTGCTTCCCTGGAAGTTACAGGTGGCACAGGATTGATTGATTAGGTACTTAGTGCCTTATGGCGAGTTGTGAAAATTCTCCTTCAGTAACACTGGTGAGAAGATCCTGGGCGTCCGGCCCCATGGGTCTGTGCCTCCTTCTCAAGGGGACTCTCAGCAGGGGACACTTGCCTGCACTGAGTAGACTTGCTAGGTGCTGGCACACGAGTCCTTTACTCCACAAGAATCTGGCCAAGGCCAGGAAAGCTGTCGGTCACCCATACACTAACCTGAAGCCACCACACTGCTCCTGACCTGGCCATGTCATCATCTAAACTGGAGTCTGTCAGACTGAACAACCCAATATTGTGATCACTTCAGTGGTAACTGTCAGCCTCACCTTCCCTTAAATTCTGGGCCTCAAGTCTCGGCTCCTGGCCGTGCAGCCAAGACCTGGGAAGGCAGAGCTGCACTCAGCAACGGAACCATAACCACCTTAGATTCCTTCAACATTTCAGAAAAGAGACAACAGTAACACATTTATTAGCCTAAGACTAGTTCTGTTCTGTTTTCAAAGTAGAGAAAATACTTTGTTTTTAAATACCCATGTTTTTAAATGATGTATTTTAGTGACAAGTTCAGCCAATAGTTACTTAAACCTATTTCTCAAGCTTATACCTATAGTCAATGCACAAATTATCTTTAAACGAGAATCTTTCAAATACACAGTAAACACAAGTCATTAACTTGATCACTGCTTTTCCACTTTTTCTTGTAGAACATAGAAACGGTAGTTTAACGGATGGGCCTTTGAGTGTGTGGAGCCGCACTAACCTTGAGCCTGTGCTTTGCTTGCAGTGTTTCCTCTCCTGCGGCTCTCCCCCACCCCCGCGGACGACTACAACTTTAACTTAGATGACAGTGAAGGAGTGTGTGACCTGTTTGATGTCCAGATACTAAATTACTAGACTCCTTGGACACCTGGGACAGTATCTACCTCTAACTGAAACCTTGTAGACTTGCTAATAACCTGAGTATTTATAATGTACGTAACGCCTGTTTAGGTCGCTGATTCTGACGTCTTCTTCCCTAATACTTGCTCTCTGACTTCACAAAACGTCAACTGTGAAGACAAAGGGCTCCGAAGCCCCTACAGTGACTGCATTCTGGAACTTCAGCTTCCCTTCCAATTCTAACTCCTGTTTTTACTCTTGTGAAAGGAAAGTTAAAAGTAGGTTAAGGTCATCAAAAAACAAAATGGCCAAGGGCTCATCACTTATTTGTGTTCCGCTTTTACTGCCACGAAACTGTCTGTATTTCTGCGCTCCAATCCTGACAGACAGTCACTGCCACGTATGGAGTGAAGGTGTCCGAGAGGCTACGGTCACTTCCCGTGAAGAGTTTGTGAAGTGCCTTTGTTCTAGCACTTTAAGTTCACCACGTTTGCTGACTCCTGACATTCCACTTTCCTGGATTATAGGAGAGGGCTGTTTATGTAGTGGTTTTTAAAATGTGCCAATGCCTGTACATTAACAAGATTTTTAAAAATAAAGTTGTATAAAGCATTTAATTTATTGGTCTTTGGGGGAATCTGATGCATCACCAGGTGCATTACAACTGAGCCATTAATCTCGTAGCTTCGTCAACATTCACTGGTCTGTCTTCCTGACTCGGCTGAAGAGCCTGGAGGGAGGAAAGTATTTAGAGTGTAAACATTTAGGTAACAGTAGTGCAAAAAATTACATATGTCATCTATTACCCAATTTAATTTCTACTCATACCTTTGGAAACATGATAAATTCTCATGTTCATAATGTTTATGAATATGCTATATATACAGCACAGCCACGTACACTAGAGAGCCGAATACTAAAGATCACATCCGACTTACAGGCTGTGGAAATTTGGGGGTTAATTTATTAGCCTCCAGTTTATTAAAAGGAAATGCTCTACGCACCAGCTGTTTCTGCAGAGGTTCGAGGGAAAGGCCTTGAGAGAAGTGAGCAAGCTCCTTCTGTATGTTCACAAAAGCTTCATTCATTCTTTTAATTTTTTCAACGTTCTTAATGATTATCTTTTTAAAAAAGAAAAAGAACATTAATCCATGAGCTTATAACCCTTAAGGATAAAATACACTCAACCTTAATTTAACCGTGTTAAACCTAAATTCTTAACAAGACAATTGTACCAGTTTCTGGGCAAGCTTCACACTAAAACTCTCAGTCTTATTGGGGAATACTGGACAAAGGACAAAGGTGCTGTTTCTTAAGAAGGACAAGTATGTGGAACACCCCCTATCTTCACTTCACCTGGGTAAGCAGGCCAGAGTGTGAACCAGACGGCCCCGCTATTATCTCTGGCCGATGAGGCGGAAGCCCGCATCCCATGCTCCTGTCCTAACAGTGCCTCAGCCTCCCTCACCTTCTTGCCCTGATGGAGGTCCTGGGCAGTCAGGACAGCCACCCGGCAGCCCCCATCTTGAATCTGAAAGTGGGATGGGGGTTCTATTCTTCCTGTAAACCTTACACCCTGGGACACCCTGGCCCCACCCTCCCCACTGTCACCTGCCAACACCAGGACTACTTGCTCCTTCACGAAAGATGTCCAACCTCAGCTCACTAAGCTCCAGGCCTGGCGTCACTGCCTGTGGCTTCAACAACAATCTAATGCTGTGGCCTGTCGTCTCCAGGTCCTCATCTCCTGTCCACGTATAGTTCAGTCAGGACTCGTACACCTCACTGCAGCCTCCACGTCCATTATTTCACGTTCCTGCACTCCCTCAGCCAGCACAGACCAGACCATTCTCTCCTCAACCACTGAACTTTCCTCTCCATGTCTCTCCCATGTCATACTTGCCTGCAAGCCAGTTACACTCACTGATCAGACTGCTGAGCCTAAAACCAAAACCCTAGAAAATCGTAACTGGGTGAGTGGCTTCATTTTAAATCCATGGCCACAAACTTCTGACCATTTGCAGGGTGCCTGGCCACCCACTGCCTCCTCTGGTAAGTCAGGCCATTTTCTGAGAAACCTACACGACCAGGCTGCCAACCCAGACACCTCCCTCTCAGACACTCCCTCCAGCACAGGAGGCTCCAGCGCTTCCACCTGAGGAAGTCACATCTGGGCCTCGGCAGCTCTCTGCCTGGGACACGCTGCTCCCGGCGCCTCCCCGCTCTGCGCATCACTAGCTCCTGCTCACTCAGGTCTTGGCCCCTGTCAACTGAAGATGATTCCCTGTGAAACTGTCGCTCCAAACCCGTCATATCACCTGCTTATTTCCTTTACAGCATTTCCAAAGTCATAAAATCGCTTGATCAAAAAGCTGACCCCAACTAGTTCATGAAAACTGAAAAATAAAGTTACATTTCTGTGCACTATCATGATATTTACTAAGTCCCAGAGAGCTGATGCCACATATTACTTCAACTTGAAAACATTTTCTGAGGACTCTGCTATATATATCTTGATGAATAAATTTCCTATTTCCCAAATACTTTGAAGTAAAAACAAAAAAGATAAACGCCTTTTCAAATTTTGCATTTTAAGAAACACAGTACTGTATTTTCACTTGACAGGTTCTTGAATATGCCTGAGGTCAGAGAAGGACTGGTTCTGACACGGGGATTTCTGAGATCCGATAAAGCTATCAAACTGTTACTTGGAGTCTCAAAGGTTTGCAGTTAATTTTGTTCGTTTTGTACATTTGGATTCAAGAAAGGGATGTTATTCTCCATTTTTTAAAACAAATGTTTAAAATCTGTCTGCCCTTGTAGGAAGGCTAAGAACCTGTTTTAAATAAAAGCATTCGGTTTCTCGCTAGCTTTACCTTCATGCTTTGTTTGTAAACCAGGAAGCTGGGGTGCTTAATACTCACCTTCTTAAGATTCGTGGTAACTGGTTTTGCTTTACTCTTCCCCTTAAAGTGTTTTTGGCTGGCTACGTGAAACACATTCCTAGGCTTCTGCCCTTTCCATTTGTTCTTGGCCATTGTCTAGAAAAGAAAGAAAAGGAGCTCAATTAAGCTGCCCACATTTATGACTGTAAATCAATTTAAGTTTTTAGAGTGCAGGTACCAATTAAATCTAAGAAATTCCACCTTAATGCTGGTTATTTTTAAGTTGCTGCATGTATTAAATTACTTCCATGTCTTCTGCCGCCTTTAGATTTTCTGCTGTTGGGAGTCCAGAGTAGGTATCTAATTCTTTTCTGCATTTACAGCGCCTGGCCCATAGAAGGCGCCACATTCACTTCTGCTGGTTGAATCAACATTAATATCAACACAGTTGCTTTTTCAGCTTCCTGCAGCAGCCCACCATGTTAACCATCGCCACCCATCCTGCTGGTGCACATGCTACTGTACCACTCTGGTGCCCATCACATCCTAGGACTGACTCCTTCCTTCTTTTCATTCCTACTTACTAGCCCCATGTCCTCTCCTGTGTGCCCCTCCTCAAAATCAGAACTTAATCCTGTACTTCCTACCCCCGCCTCCCTTAAATTACTTTCACGCCTGTTAGGTCACCTCTATAGATGACTCTTGCCTTGAAACTTCAGGTATTCTTTGTTCTATAGCTGAACACGAACTAAGCCTGTAAGTTCTACCTTAGACACATCTCTCCAATCTCGTTAACAATGCACGTGAGGAACAGTTTTTAAAATGTTAATAGTTAAGACTTACTGAGCTTTGACTATGTGAACAAGTACTATGCCTTCGTTTCATGTACTTTAATTTCCTCCTCACAACACTGTGGAAGGCCTGTTTATCCCCATTTTAAAGATTTAAAAAAACCTAATGCAAAGGGAAGTGAATGCGCCCACGGTCACAGCGGTAGTAATCAGGGAATGCCACGCAGAGCTAGTGTGGGACATGGCCGTTCCTGTCCAGGGTGGGCAAAAGTAGGCTTACAGTTGTGAATACATGGAAGTTTGTTTTTGTATTATTATTTATTAACTAGAGGCCCGGTGCACAAAATCGTGCATCAGTGGGGTTCCCGCGGCCTGGCCTGTGGAATCAGGCCAAAACCAGCTCTCTGACATCCCTGAGGGGTCCTGGATTGTGAGAGGGTGCAGGCCAGGTCAAGGGACCCCACTGGTGCATGATCGGGCTAGGGAGGGACGCAGGAGGTTGGCCAGCCAGGGAGGGACCCAAGGGGAGCTCCAAGGCACGTCCAGCCCGTCTCGCTCAGTCCCGATCACCTGGACCCCAGCAGCCAGCTAACCTACCAGTTGGAGCGTCTGCCCCCTGGTGGTCAGTGCACATCATAGCGACTGGTCAACCAACCAGTAGACTGTCTACCCCCTGGTGGTTAGTACACATCATAGAGTGGCCTTAGCATATCATTAGCATATTATGCTTTGATTGGTTGAACAGCCGACTGGACACTCAGCATATTAGGCTTTTATTATATAGGACTAGAGGCCCAATGCATGAAAATTCATGTAAGAGTAGGCCTTCTTTCCTCTGGCTGACGGCACCGGCTTCCCTCTGGCACCTGGGACCTGGGCGACTTCCCTCCAACCCTGGCTTCATCAGGAAGGATGTCCGGAATGATATCCGGAAGACATCCAGTCTAATTAGCATATTACCCTTTTATTATTATAGGTTACGGTATTACTTTCCATACAGACAACTGTAAACCTGCTTTTGCCTGACCCTGCATAAATAAAAATGCAATACAAAAATATGATGTAATATTTACTGGTTACTACTACAGTCCCTAGATTTGGTTAGATCATGGGCTTGGGCAAACAATACCCATGGACCAAATCAGGTCAGACACCTGTCTTTGTAAATAAAGTTTTATTAGAACAGAGCTATGTCCATTTAATTATGTATTGTCTCATGGGTGGGTGCTTTCCTGCTATGACTGTGGTCCACAAAGCCTAAAGTATTTACTATCTGGCCCTTTACAGAAAGACTGTCCACCCCCACACGAGCCACGTGCACTCCAGTCTACCCTGAATAGCCCATGGTATGAAGCTGCTAATGCAAAAAACCTGAAGGCACAAGGAGCAACGTGCTCTGTGGCAGCTGCTGGACCCGGGGCCCAGACACATCTGTCACTCCTCTCCCTCTCCAGGCACCTGCGCTGCTCACACTTCTCTGAAGACACCGGCACATTCCTGCCTCCTTCCCTTTGCTCACATTGCATCTCTCGTCTGAAGTTTACATCCTCCAAGTCGGCCTCAGGCAACTACATAACAGCCACCCTTTCACCCAATAGTAGTTAATACTTAAAAATAATGAACACTGTGGACGAAAGGGGCCACACGCTGACCTGACAGCTCAGGGGAGGCCTGCATGGCGGTCTTGCAAACTCAGACCTACAGTCACCACAAAGGATGGTCTGAAATTAAACTTTAAAAGCAGTGATGGTGGGCAGTTACATCCTAGGCCAGTATTTTCACTGACAAGGTCAACCTTTACCTTAACCGAGCCTGTCTGTCTTTTTGCATCTAAGATAACACACCCTTGAAATGTCTGGGTAACTTGTAACCTCCCTTTTTCCGGACCCTTTGGGCCACAACCTAATATGCTAGGCGCCAGGACAGAGACCACAGATTCCTTCATTATCGTGTTAATTGATCCTGCGCCCACCTAAGCATGTGTCCATCATTTTACTTCTTATCCAATCCCAGGGCCCCTCCCCTTTCCTTTCTCCCGCCCCTCTAGTCCATCACCAGTGGATTTCATGTAACCCACCCACCTACGTCCCTCCTTCCATTGTAACGTATAAAAATAGAGGAGCACCCGCCATTCTCTGGGGCATTATCTCAGTCCATTGCTTCCCGGCAATTGTCGACAGTTTGGCACAAATAAACTCACAAAATTTCTTTACAGGTCTGAATGTTTTTTCACGTTAACAGCACGATAGCAGTTCAACGACCTAAACTCCTTCCAACAGCAGCCACGCCCCAGCCACTCCAGACTCCTCACCTCCGCCTCTGAGCCGGTGCGGCGCGGAGGGACAGGCCCTGAAGCACGCGGGCTGGCGCGGCAGGCTCCGGGGAGGGTATATCCTAGCGGCGGGACAGGGAATGCCCACAGCGCGGGGAAACCAAGGCGCCAGACAAGGCCAAAAAGGCC